CGCTTTCAATTAATGTCTAGTCTACCCATTTGCTATATTTTCTCGTTTGTTTTACTAATTTTTGACCAATTAATAAGCATGTTTTTGTTTAAGAAATTGATATTCAAATTCCCCGCCATATTTTCATAATTTGGTGCATGCGCAGACGTTTTTCCGCGGTGTTTTTATTAGCTCAATGGCGAGAAATAGTGGACACGCATGCGCAGTTACCACATTCACTTTGAAATATTTTGAACGAATTTCTAAGGGAAATATAATAGCAGTTACATTGAAGAAACACATGAATTTCCTTCTAAAAGCTACCTCTTTAGTAATGTGCTTTTGTTTCAATCTATACAAGATTATTCTAGCCATACTGTTCGCAAAGAAAGCTATCGTTCACTCGGTTTTCGACGAAAAACATTCATTGCTGTTGCAAAGGTTGTTAATATCGTGGCAATTAACAAACAGCAAAATTACCTCTTTCTCGACCAATTTCTCAGCGTATCTTGAGCGTGTTTCGATGAGTTTCAATCGTTTCCAGGACGTCAATATAGTTTGTTTTCAACTAGTATAGTCGATTGCCTTCTCTGTTTGTGGTTTTGTCGGTTTTAGGCTGAAAACAGAGCTACTTTTCCAAAAGCTCTGTCTTTCAAACGACAGCATTTGCAACATTTGCTTTGCAGACTTGAGCTGTTCATGTTCAATATATTTTCCATTTTCTTCTCTGTTTAGCTCCGCCATTTTGAAATATCTCAACAAAGATTGCTCGGCCAGTGTCTTTTTGCGGCTTCCGGCGCGAAAATTCCATTTTTTGTTGAGTTAATTTATGGTAATGTCGGCCTTTAAAGTTTGACACGGACTATAAAGTTTTCATTAATGGTGAAACGCCAAAAATTAAATTTGTATATATTTTAAATCCAGCCGAAAGAGAAGATCAAATTCTTTGCCATATTTCTGTGCAAAATAAAACGTTATTCTGAAGGACAATTTCTGAAGGACAATCCTACGTCAAAATACTGAACAAAAACATCCCTAGTAAGGCGTTTGAAATAAAACAATCCTGTCAGCGAATTGAAACTTGTCTCAAAAATTATTAGAACTAAAGAGATTAACAGAACTAAAAGCAAAGGAAAGTCCTTAACCAAGAGGGCACAGCGAAACAACGGGAAGAGTTTAAAAATGGTGATCGCTAGATAGTATACTTCAAAATAAGGTTTCCGTTTTTATAACGTAGAAAAAACTATCCTAACGCAAAACTAAACCCTAACCCTAATACTAACCCTCACCCCAACCTCAACCTAACCCCAACCTAAACCCTAACCTAACCCTAACTTATTTTAATTATTTTAAAAATTAATAAAAAACGGAAATCTTATTTTGAAGTATACTATCTAGCAATTGCCGTTTAAAAATAGTTCCGCAGTGGGGAGCTTAAGAGGCTGGAAACTAATTTCGCTGCATGTCCATCATTTCTCGCCATGGCTATTGGGAGTAGGTTACAGAGATTACGTGCAGGTCAGCTAAAAACAAGCAAAAGCAATTTTAAACGTTAACCATATTTCTGCTTTTTCACATTCAGAGAGATCTCTGTGTATTATACTGTGTTAGTATAGGAAAATCTTCTTGGAAGAAACACGTGTTGTTGTGGCTGGAAGTTTCGAAATTTTTGAGCAGATGTAAATTATGCGCATCATTTGCTCTGGATATAAATGTTTGTTTTCATGTGCCTTGCAGTACGAGAGATAGTCGATGTGTGTTGTGAATAAGATCTTATAAGAAATATATGTTCAAAATAACAAAAACCTGATTTATTCTTAAATCTCTGAATCCATTGCAAAATTTTCTTACAAAAGTATTTCATTGAATCCAAATGATGGAAAAAAATAACGTGTCAAAATGTTAACATTTGTTAATAAAAAAACTTACAGTTTACAACAGTATAAACGTTTACAAATTTGCCAAACCTACAATTGCACTTATACTATAGTTGACATACGCTATTTCTTTTATAGAAAGTTTTTGTATGTACTGTATAAATATAAGGAAAGTTAATCGTTTAAATGAAGGTGATGCTTTTCTGCCTTACAATAGCAACAGGACCACTTGGATGAGACTTAATTCGGGGCCAATCCTTAATATCAATTCTCTCAGAAAAGAACGTTGTGGTCTCCAGTTCACCTGCTTCAGTGTAGCACAGAAGGAAATAGGAATCTTTTTTCTCGACATAGGTTAAGACAATTATTTTACAAATGACATAATGAAATGCCAACCCACGGACCGCGTGACCTTCTGGTGATTTTATTGTCGACTTTGGATTTCCTTCCTCGGAGTATATCTCCACAGCCTGGTAATTGTCTGTTGCTATCATGATTTCATCCTGCCCACAAATACCCAATCTGTGTGGATAACGTACGCCTTGTTCAAACTTGTGCTTTAATTTCCCGGTATTGTCACAGATATACACCTGAGGATCATCATATCGCATCACCACGATATTATTGTTCTTGTTTATAGCGATCTGCACAGCTGAATAAAAATATTTTGTCGCGTCGAGATATTCCAATGTGCGGGAGTCCTGGTTTACATGGTAGTTCTCGTCCAGTACATCCAACACAAAACTTTTCACATTAAAATATTTCGCACTTGTTTCAAGCCGTCTCACCACGTAAACGTTGTTATTCTTATCAACAGCAAGTGCTACAATATGTTGCCTGATAACTTCACCTTCACTGGGTTCAGGTAATTTAACCACCTTGCTTTCACCTGTCTTCGGTATAATTTTGATGGTGTCAGGATGTTTTCCAACAACAACATCCCCATGGCTGTTTACAGCAGAATAACGAGGAATTATATCTTCATCAAGTATCGATTTGTTGGGAAGTTGGGTCAGTTCATCGCCCATAGATTTTCTTGTCGAAACCTCCTGCCAATGCAATATTGGGTTAAAACTACGTTCAGCAAGTTCAATCGTTGGCCACGCGGATGTGGAAGTATACTTACTGCTGAATTTGAACACAAATTGGAATAAAGTATAATTAACCAACATAACAGACTTGACGCACTCTACTCGCTGTGCTTTATTCAATCTCGACATGAATCCACGATTGAGATACATGGAGAATATCTCGGCAATTGCCTCAAGACCATGCAATTCCTCAAGAAACGACAGACACGATGTGATCGCATGTTCTGGTGATTCGAGGCATTCCAAAACCGTTGCAACAATATGTAGTTTCGCCGCCATCAGTCTGTCTTCGATGCTCAAAGCTTGGTTAAAGAAAGCGTCGAATGCTCTTGTACGTGCATCTTTAAATCGTTCTTTAGCACACTCAAAATGCCCTTGGGATACAATATTTAACTTTTCCATCGCTTGAGAAAGTGGCAAGGCTTCGTTTAAGATCTCAGACTGAACACTGCTCGACATTGTTGATGTGGCTTGCTCGTTGGTAGGTTTATCTACATCTTTCTGTTCGTCCATCGACTTATTAATGAGAGAAACTTTTAGCAAATTGATACCTTGCTTCAGAAAACCCAAGCTGCTGAGTAGAGGTGCACGGGAAAGACCATCGAGTTTCTTCTTGACGTCGTTCAACTCTCTTACGACGAACTCGCGAATTTTTGCGTCCGTAACATCGCCATCTTTCAGTTTATCCGCAGCCGAGTCGCGAGCTTTATTCACGAGTAAACCCACTATCGAACTTAGCATTTTTGTGACAATTGACGCCATCCTGAACTGCTATACTCACACAACAAAGCGATACTGAATTTACACGAAATAGACAATATGCCCAAGCACATTCACTGACGAAATATAATCAACCTACTGTGAAATTCCCAAGTATTATGACCGCTATACAAATTATAGTATATATGATGTAAATATCTACAGTATGGTATGTTCTTCCTGTCACTTGACAGGAACTACCATGATTGTTGTGCAACAAATATGACGTTGTGATGTATTGAGTAGGGGGGATTTCACGGCTGGTTTACGTTTACAGTATCGAAGTTTCTTTGCTTAAAATAGGTTTGGATAATCAAACATTTCTTTTACTTGAAATATAAGATTATACTTTGTTTGATATACCGACTGGTTACATTTCTTTCATCTGAGATATAAAAAGTTAATATTCTTATGACATTCTTACAATGTTTGAAAATTTGCATTGAATTTGAATATAATCACAACCTACTGCGAAATTCCCAAGTATCATGAATATATAGTGTATATATGACCTATGTGGGTGTGTTGTGCATGACGTTCAAAAATATATGCGGAAATAAAGAAACTTTGTTCAATTGGGTTGGATTCCATAGAGAATACGTCAATTCACACTTCCTGTGGGAAACTAAGGGCCTGTTCATATGGGCAGAAGTTATCCTGGTTAGCGAGAAACCTTTTCGACAAGTTTACGAGCGAGATCTCGCCTTGTTACGAAAATAATATGACTAGAAGTTACTATCGCAAGGAAAATGCTGCCTCACCCCCAGGGGATCAAAGGCAAGGGGGCATACGTAATTTGCTGAATAAGGGCTGTTTATACGGATCCCGCTTAAACCACTTTGCCAGGACGAGATATAAGGCGCGATGCTTTTGTGAAAAACTTTATTTTCTAGAGATGGATTATAGTTAGCTGTAATCGAAAGGTTGTTCAAAAAGCTATAAAAATCTTGAACTATATGATCTTCTCTACAACATTTGAGTTCGGTTATAGCCAGCATTTGAACTTTCGTTTAGCCTAGTGACTTATTTCAATACAACAAAATCATCCCAACTTCCATCATGTAAACAGCCCAGAGTATGCCCGTTCACAGGTTAGGTGCTGGGCATGACCTAACTTGCAAACTGGCAAACTCTGGGTACGAGATTGCTAATACGCCTGTTCAGGCGTATTACGCCTGTATACAGGCTAGACTGAAAAATGCAATTTGAATATCAAACACCTTGCACAAAGTCGAAGGTCAGCTAAATATTCTAATTCTACTTTCTAGGCATGGGTTTTTTTTTATGAATCCCTTGAATGCTTATAACTTCTTGCTTTTGTATGTATAATTATACTGTTAATGGTGAAGCTAGCCATTATTAAACTAAACTCTACATGTCCAATGATTCATTCAAGTATTATCAATGTTGATATATATATATATATATATATATATATATATATATATATATATATATATATATATATATATATATATATATATATATATATATATATATATATATCAAAAAAGACCATCGAGTTTCGTCTTGACGTCGTTCAACTCTCTTACAACGAGCTCGCGAATTTTTGCGTCCGTAACGTCGCCGTCTTTCAGTTTATCCGCAGCCGAGTCGCGAGCTTTATTCACGAGTAAACCCACTATTGAACTTAGCATTTTTGTGACAATTGACGCCATACTGAACTCTTATACTCAAGCAACAAAGCGATACTGAATTTACACAAAATAGACAATATGCCCAAGCACATTCAGTGCACATTCATAACACAAGTGTTATGACTATATAGTGTGTATGATGTAAATATCTACAGTATATACAGTGTGTTCTTCCTGTCACTTGACAGGAACTACCATTGCTGTGCAACAAATATGACGTTGTGATGTATTGAGTAGGCGGGATTTTAAGGCTTATTTACGTTTACAATATCAAAGTTTCATTGCATAAAATAAGTAACCAAACATTTCTTACAATGCATAGCAAAACATCCTTACTATGTTTGGAAAATTTGCATATACAATTACTTTATGGTTTCCGTGTTTCGATGGCCTGATCCAAACACGTGGACCCGCGTGTTTGGATCAGGCCATCCAAACACGGAAACCATAAAGTAATTGTTTTATAAAATAACAACAGGGTTTAAAATTCTCGCGAAGGCACTTTAAATTTCCGTGTTTGGATGGCCTGATCCAAACACGGGTTTCGGCCAATCAGAGCACGCGTTACTATATACATGTCATTTTATAATTAAATTTGAATATGATCACAACCTACTGCGAAATTCCCAAGTATCATAAATATATGTCCTTCCTGTGACCCGTGCTGTGACCTATTAAAGTGGGTGCATGTTGTACATGACGTTCAAAAATATAAACGGAATAAAAGAAGCTTTGTTCAATTGGGTTGTATTCCATAGAGAATACATCAATTCACATTTCCTGTAGGAAACTAAAGCGATTTTCCGGCGTGCGCACTCGCACGGAAAAGTTTAAATCGGTTTAAGTGAGTTTCTTATGAAATAATTAAATGTTCATAATTAAATGAATAGAATTAAAGTGTATTTATTGAGGTAATTAGTACGAAGAAACACGTCTTGTTGTAGCCGGCAGTTGCGAAATTTGTAAATTATGCGCATCATTTGCGCATGTGCAGAACTACGATAATCATGTATTCAGCAAGTCAGGAATTTCGCGTGACACCTAGTATAGCTAGCTTTCCTTATAGCTATTTAATTCATAAATACACTGATACATATTTGTACAATACGTGCATATGCCACGTGCACACGTAAAAACGCGCAAGTTGTTACAGGTTCTAACAAGTCTGATACAGTCGTGATGTAACAAGAATGTTACAAAGTTGACGACACAAGGTTGTAACAATATTGTTATATCATGACTGTATCGGACTTGTTGGAACAACCTTGCAACAAATCTGATAACATCAACAAAGTTGTTACAACTGTTAACAAGAATTGTTCCATACTTGTTGACAACTTGGGACAAGCAGTGCGAACACAAGTGGTTGCCGGCGTGTTGGCAGACTTTCTACAAGATGTTAGATTTGTGTGTGTAGTCGAGTTTAGTGGAGTGCGTTCTTTGCCTTAACATTCCATGAGGGCCGTAAGCTAGACTGCTTCACCTCCATAATTTTTTTTTTCACCTTCCTACCATTTCCATGAATGAATTTCATATTTTTGTGTTTTGTAGATATCTTCAAATTCGATCCAGAATATCTCGCTAACGAAGAAAAATATAATCAAATTAAGAAAGGTTGGTTAAGTTTAATTGCACGTGTGTGTACAAACAACAAATTTTCTATGACAAGTTTTTGGTTTACTTTATAAACAGGCGTACTTTATAGCCATAAACCATGGTTTATAAGGTATGCTGAAAAGAG